AAAAAAAAACAAAGCAGAGGCATCATGCACCATTTCAAACTATATTAGAAAGCTATAGTAATCAAAACAGCACAGTATTGTTTTATAAAAAAAAAGACACAGTGATCAATTGAAGAAAATAGAGAGCCCAGAAATAAACCCACACATCTATTGTCAATTAATTTACTATAAAGAAACCAAAAATACACAATGTGAAAAAGAGTCTTTTTAATAAATGATGTTGTGAAAATCGGACAGCATATGCAAAAGAATGAAACTGGACCATTGCTTTACACCATACACAAAAATTAACAAAATGAATTAAAAACAAATGTAAGACCAGAAACCATAAAACTCCTAGAAGAAAATACAGGCTGTAAGGTCCCTGACACCAGTCTTAGCAATGATTTTTTTTTTGATTTGACAGTAAAAGCAAAGGTAACAATAGTAAAAATAAATGAGTAGGACTATATAAAACTAAAAAGCTTGTGCACAGCAAGAGAAACCATTGATAAAATAAAATAATGACTTCAGAATGTGAGAAAATATTTGCAGATCATATATCTGATAAAAATTTAATACCTAAAATATGTAAAGCTCCTATACCAGTCAAGAACAAGAAACTCCAGTTAAATTAACTAGCAAAGAATATGAATAGACATTTTTCCAAATAAGACATATAGATGGCCAACAGGGACATGAGAAGATACTCAACATTATTAATTATCGCGGGGAAGCAAAACTACAATGATATGTCACCTCACCATCTGTTAGTGTGGCTAGTATTTTTAAAATCATTTTTCATTTTTTAATTACAGTTGACACAATATTATATTAGTTATGGGGCTACAACCCAGTGATTATACATTATATAACTTACTAAGTGATCATTTCAATAAATCTTGTACCCATCTGACACCGTGCTTAGTTATTAGAATATTATTGACTATATTTTATATGCTCTTTACAGCCCCATGACTATTCTGTAACTACCAATTTGCACTTGTTTTTTTTTGTTTTTTCAGTGTTTACCTGAGGACACATACATTGATTTTAGAGAAAGGGGAAGGGAGGGAGAGAAACATCAGTTGATTGCCTCTTGTACATGTCCTGACTAGGAACTGAATCCTCAACCCGAGTACGTGCTCTGACTGGGAATCCAGCTGTGACCTTTTGGTTTATGGAATGATGCTCCAAACAACTGAAACCATACCCGATAGGATCCAAGTTGCACTCCTTAATCCCTTCACCTTTTTCATTCATGCTTCCGACCTCCCTCCCTCCCATCTGGCAACCATCAAAATGTTCTATGTATCTCTGAGTCTGTTTCTGTTCTATTAGCTCATTTATTTTTTTTAGATTCAATTGTTGATATATATGTATTTATTGCCATTTCATTGTTCATGGTTTTGATTTTCTCCTTCTTAAAAACCTCCTTCAACATTTCATATAATACTGTTTTGGTGGTAATGAACTCTGCTTTTTCTTGTCTGGGAAGCTCTTTATCTGTCCTTTGATTCTAAAGGATAGCTTTGCTGGGTAGAGCAATCTTGGGAGTATGTGCCTGCTTTTCATCACTTTGAATATTTCTTGCCAACCCTTCTGGCCTACAAAGTTTCTTTTGAGAAATCAGCTGACAATCTTATTGGAGCTTTCTTGTAGGTAACTAACTGCTTTTCTCTTACTACTTTTAAGATTCTCCCTTTGTATTTAACCTTATGCATTTTAATTATCAAGTGTTTTTTTATAGGCCTCTTTGAGTTCATTTTGTTTGGGACTCACTATGCTTCCTGGATGTGTATGTCCACTTTCTTCACCAGGTTAGGGAAGTTTTCTGTCATTATTTTTTAAAATTGGTTTTCAATTTCTTGCTCGCTCTCTTCTCCTTCTAGTGCCCCTATGATGCAAATGTTGAATGTTGATGTACTTTAAGTTGTCCCAGAAGCTCCTTACACAACCCTCTTTTTTTGGATTTGTTTTTCTTTTTTACTATTCTGATTGTGTGTTTATTGCCTCCTTACCTTTCAAATCCCTGATTTGATCCTCTGTTTCATCTACTACACTGTTGATTCCCTGTAATGTATTCTTTATTTCAGTTAATGTATCCTTCATTTCTGACTGGTTCTTTTCTGTGATTTCCATGTCCTTTCTCCTACTGTTGAAGTTTTCACTAAGTTCATTGAATATACTTATCACCAGTGTTTTGAACTCTGCATATAGTATATTGCTTATGTCAATTTTATTTAATTCTTTTTCTGGAGTTTTGTTCTGTTCTTTTATTTGGGACATGTTTATTTGTCTCCTCATTTTGGCAGCCAGTTTCTTTGTATTAGGTATAGCTGCTACACTTCCCAGGCTTAGTAGTAGGGTCCTTCTATGTAGCAGGGTCCTGCAGGGTCCTGCAGGGTCCAGTGGCACAGCCTCCATGTTCACTCAAGATGGACAATCCTGATGCACCACCTCCAACCCCGTAGGATGTGTACACCCTCCTATTGTATCTGAACCTTGATTGCTGTTGGCACATCAATGGGAAGGATTTACCCTCAAGCTGATGAGCTACAAGGACTGGGTAACCACTGAGAGGACCAGCTGTGCAGGGGCCTACCCCATGGAGCAGGACTTAACTTTAGTGGGAGCTCTGGTACCTGCTAAGTCCACACCTTGAGTCTCTCACTTGTGGAGTTGGTTAGCTGGTTCTTCAAGGTGGTCTGAAGCTGTCCACTAGGTATCCTGGCTCTGGCTTCTCCCAGGAAGTATAGGCCAGGGTCAGCCACTGCCTGTGTTCTGCCTCTGCCCTCCTTCAGTGCAATCTGAAGATAGATAGCTGCTATTTGTGCCGAGCTTAGAGGTATCAAGGAAAGGCCAACCTATGAACCAGGCTGGCTGTAACTCATGCCAGGCCTAGGACTACTTCATGAGTGGTATGGGGCACACTGAGGCCAGATGCTGCTTGTTTGAGATATTTTATCCAAAGCATGAGCCAAGACAAGCCATTTGTCTGGAACAGCCACTGGAAATAGCTTGGGTACACCCACAAATTGGGTGGGGTGGGTTCTCAGAATCTCCAGGGTGGAGGGAAAAAGTGTTAGCCAGGTTGATGGAGACTCAAATATGGTGCCTGCCTGCTGGTGCTGTGTGGGGAGGGCTCAGCAATGGATCAGTGGCCTCTGCTAGGACTTCTGTATGCCCCTTCAGCTCTCACCCTGATCAGGCTGGACGCTTCAGTTCCTCCCCATGTCTCTGGTGCCTTTCAAGCTGCTGCCCCAGCCCTGGAGCTCAGAGTGAGTCCAAGTACCATATTTTGCCATATAATGTGCACCAATATTTTGTGTGCATTACAGGGATTATTATACCCTGTTATTATACCCACAGTATGTAATCATTATGCCCATGTATAATGTGCATCCTTATTTTTCCCTAAAAAATTTGGGCAAAAAAGTGCATATTTTACATGACAAAATATGTTAAGTCCATGTGTGAGCCTTTCAAGAGGGATGTGTAGGAATCTAGAATCCCTCCATCTTACTCATTCACAATATATGCTGACTTTTACAGCAAAATTTATGGGGACTTATCTTCCTGACACCGGAATCCTGGGCCGAGGGAACTGGTGTTGGGCTGGGACCTGTTGCTCCTTAGCAGGTACCTCTTAAGCCTAAATACCACTCCCAGTTTTTATCTACCACACATGAGTGTGGGACCAGCCTGTTCCATGTCTCCACTTCTCCTACCTGTCTGGATGTGGCTTCTTCTTTACATACTTAGTTGTAAGCCTCCTGTTCAGCTAGATTTCAGATGGTTCTGAATGACGATTTTTCTATAGTTGGGTTGTAATTTTGATGTGGTTATGGGTCGAGGCGAGAACTGCATTTACCTCTGCTGCCATCTTGAGCTGAACCCCAGAATGGCTAGTATTCAAAAAACGATAAAGAAATAACAAGTGTTGGTAAGGGTGTGGAGAAAAGGGAATATAAATTAGTGCAGCCATTCTGAAAAATAATATGGAGATTTCTCAAAAAACTAAAAATAGAACTACTGTGCGACTCAGCAATTTCAACTGTTGGAATATAGCCAAAGGATATGAGAACCCTATGTCAGAGAGCCATCTGCAACCCCATATTTATAGCAGCACTATTTACAAAGCCAAGATATGGAAACAGGACACTTGTTTAAAGAAGTCATGGTGTGTATATTATCTATCCATTAAAATGCAATATTATTCACCTGTTAAAAAAAGAAGGAAATCCTGCAATTTGTGAAAATATGACACTATGCTAAGTGAAATAAGTCCAACAGAGAAAGACAAATACAGTAGGTCCTTGCATAACATCATTTCAGTCAATGAGGTTTAGTTATAATGTTAGTGAGATACCTTAGGAACTTACCTCCTTTACAGCAATTATTCAGTGGTAAAATTGGTTTCATTATAATCAATTCACTTAAAATTGCAGAACCTATTGGCAATGTTAAATGAGGGTTTAGCATACTTTATGATCTCACCTACATGTAAAATGTAAAAAAAAAAAAAAACTATAGAAAAGGATATCAGATTTGTGGTTACCAGAGCTGGGGTATTGGATGAAGGTGGTCAAAAGTTACAAGCTTCTAGTAATAAGATAAATGAGTACTAGAGATGACTATAGCTAATACTGCTGCTTTATGGCACTTGTGAACGTTGTTCAGTGAGTAGATCTAAGAGCTCTCTTCACAAGGAAAAAAATTTCTTATTCTTTTGTGTCTATATGAGATGATGGATGTTAACTAAACATATCATGGCAGTCATGTCACAGTATATGTAAGTCAAATTCTTATACTGTATAGCTGAAACTTATATGCTCATGTCAATTGTATCTCATTAGAATTGAATTTTAAAAGCTTGACATAGACATACCATTAAAATAAAGAATTCAGTGTTTCATTTGCTTGTGGCAAAGCTGGGGGAGAAGGAGGGTAGAACAAGCAAACTGGGTCCGACTTGGAAGTTTTGAACAATCATGCTTTCATATTTCCAAATTTTCCAGGTTGTATCCACGCCATGCAAGTGCCCTGAACAACCTTGGAACGCTGACGAGAAACACGGCAGAGGCACAGATGTACTATCAGAGGGCTCTCCAGCTAAACCCGCAGCACAACCGCGCTCTGTTCAATCTCGGGAATCTCCTTAAGTGAGTGGCATGTGCACCTCTGACCGGGTGGCCTTGTGATTCCCAGAAATCCTTTTCTTCTCAACACTTACTCGATTATGCTGTTGTGTCATTTTCCAAGAGTGGAGTAATTAAGGATCCCAAGCTTTGAGAAAATTCAGTATTCATCTGATTAATTCTGTCCCTTATCAGTCAAGAAGAGTGTTTTCCAGAATGTCTTTTTGGAAGTATTACTCTGGGAGATGTTCATAGTGTCTGAAGAGAGGTGGAATTAGGGAAAGATTACAGGGTCAGATAAACTCAGGAAATGCTGAATTAAAAACTAAAGATAGTTCCTTTACTGCAAGAATTTCTAATATGCTAAAGGCCCCGTGAATCCACAAGCGGGAAATATGGAACACAGCATTTTCCAAGTCAGTCTTTTTTTGGTAGGGCATTTCCCAAGTACTCCATGAATATACTTCGGGAAAAGTGCTGGTGTAGGAAAAGCAGTCTTCTCTGCAGGTGTAACCAAATGTCCTAACCACAACTCTTCCCAGCTTGTACTGTAGGTAAGAAACAAAGGGAGACATACCTGGAATTAGTAATGAGTAGAGTAACTCTCTAAGGAAGGCCTCTTGGGCATAATCACTGATGATGGCTTTTCACTCACTGCCCTGTAAAAGGTTAATAGTGCAATTAGTGTCACAGAAGACTAACACAAAGGGGTGTTTTTGCATCTTGTCCTTTTATGAATAGGAAGTCTAGGCATGGAATGGTGGTGGTGGTGCTGGCAGTGATAATTTCTGAACTTAAAAAATAGGTTGAAAACATTAGAAGTGGGCATTAAAAGGTAAGAGTATGGCTGGAATCAGGTTGTAGTGGTGTATTTATCTGTACTTGTTAGGCTCTGACAGCCTACACACCCGCTGAATTGGCTTTGTGCCTCCAAACCTTTAGCGAGCACGTTCAGACCTTTGAGGCTGATGTTGTGCTGCATTCATTCTCCTGTCCTCTGCCTACCAGGATTGCCCTGACTGCCTCGGTAACTTGTCTGATGCGCCAGCTTCACCTTCCTGTTTACTCCTTAAATATTCCTTATACATATAGATGTTGCCACTAAGATGCTCCCTTAAAAAAAAGGAGAAATCAAGTGTTGGGGAGAAATGAGTTCTAATTGTAGATAACTAGTTATAGGGTGTTTTTACTTGACTCTTTTTATAAACTCTTAATTTACAAACTTCTAAGTTTATAAACTAAGGACTCTTTTTTTAAAGTCTTCATTACAATACATCTGTATGTGTTGTAACTTAGAGCCCAAATAACTTCATGTCTGGGTGAAAGCCTACCCAGTATGTGTGTGTGGGGGGCTATCCATGGATTTCAAAAATCATGTAGATGAGGATTCTCTTCATCCCCATCTACATGAGGATGTAGAAATTTAGCTTCAATGGCCTGTATACAAAGTACCATTTCTTGTTAGGAGTGATGTCCTGCAGTTATGATTATCATAATGGGCTGAATGTCCCTCGATTCAAAAATGATGGCAGAAATTTGTTAAAATTTCATCTGGTCAAGACCTGAACAAGAGAGGTACACTCTAACCTTCCTTTTCAATTCTCTTCTGATTGCCACTGACTATTATCTTGAATTACCATATGTGGGTTAAAAGTACAAGGAAATATTTTTTTGGAGCATGGCAATGACTGCTTTTCACAGCAGGAGGGACTCCTGGATACCCGACAGAGGGCTTCTTCTCTTTCAGTAAAATCAGGTCTTGATTGTCACCCAAACCAACAACAAAGCATTATATTTGTATAGGACTGTAGCATTCTGAGTGCTCTTGGAATGAGACCTTCCCAGTGATGGGACCAAGTCAAGGTCCCAGCTAGTTAAGTGTCTGTGCAAAGCCATTCTTGTTCACCTGCTGCACTTTCCCATTATACCAGAGAGCAAAGTGACTACATCTGTGTAGATTATTCTTAGAATCCAGCAGAATAAAATTATCATAATAGCTAACATTTATGTAATGCTTTCCAGTTTACAGATGTGTTTTTTATATCCATTGTTTAATCTTCAAAACAAACTACTGTGAGAGGTATTATCTTCATCCCCATTTTACCGATGAGAAAACCAAGATTTGGAGATTTCTTCTGACCTTGGTTTAGGCTGAGGTAGACCCAAGATTGAATTCCTGTCCTTGGACTTATATCCTCTTCATGTTCCACTACCCCTGCTGCTCAAATAACTCTTATGCCCCCAAATGATCTAATATTTAGCTATTTAATGGTATACGATTGCCTTTTGAGAGAAAGAGCCTTCCTGTTTTTCTTAAGGAAACCATAAAGGTTGTTTCCACCGTATCCCTCCGTAGCAGAGAGAGGTGACTCACCAAACAGCGGAGCCCGTCGACGTTTGGATAATGCCAGGTTTTACTTTTGCTTTCCTTAGTATTTTTCTGCTAAGTGGTAATGAGTCAAAAGTGAAAAGAAGAAAGAATATTATAAATTTGGTTTGGTTTGATTCATTTTACTATTTATTTAGGATTCATACTACATTTATCTCTCATTAGGCAGCTTTTCTTTTTAAATCCTCACCAAGGACATGCTTATTGATTTTATAGAGAAGGAGAAGAGAGGGGGAGAGAGAGGGAGAGAAACATCCATGTGAGAAAGAAGCATCCATCGGTTGCCTCCGTATGTATGTGCCCCAACAGGAGACCAAACCTGCAGCCTGGGCATGTGACCTGATCAGGAATCAAGCCTTCAGTCTTTTGGTTTGCAAGACAATGCTCCAACCAACTGAGCCACACAAGCTATGGCTAGGCAGCTGTTAAAAATTATGCCGTTTCTTGTAATACAGAAATTAATGCTCACTCTAAGAACTCAAGATATCTCTGTAGATAGGAGCCGTTTAGACTGGGAGTAGCAAGGTGCTTAGGGAAGAAATAGAAGGCCTGGGAATTGAACCTAGATCTGTCTGGCCCAGTCCCCTTACACTGCACTCCACTGCCCCCTTGTGGCTCACCTGAACTTGGATGCACCCTAAAGCCACACTACCCAACGGAAATAGAAGAGTCAGGCTTTGTAATTTAAAATTTTCAGGTGGCTGTATTTCATAACATAAAACAGGTAAAATTAATTTTAATAATATGTTTTGTTTTACCCTAATATATCCAAAATATTGTTATTTTAACATGTTATTGATCTTAAAAATTAATTTTACAATTGAACATGTAAAATATTAACAAGATAGTATACATTGTTTTTTATAATTAATCATTGAAACCCAGTATATATTTCACACTTACAGGACATCTCAGACTATTTATATTTCAAGAAATCAACAGCCACATGTGGTTAGTGGCTACTGTATTGGACAGCACAGACCTTAATTAATGCCCTTGACTTTGAGAGCAATGTGAGCCAGAAGTTCTAAATAAGATGTGTTTCTTTCAGAGGATCTTAGAAATTTTATAGTGCTGAGGGCAAATTTTCCTGAAGTTTTGGAATTTTATGACAGGCAGCTTCAGATCTGCTCACAGGAGTAGACTTCACTGAGTGCTACCCAAATACATTTGGCCTTTTTCAAGACCCTTTACTGGACTCTAATCTGTCACAAATCCATGTAGCACATTTACAGGGGGACAGATTGATAAGGAACAACTTTCCATGCCAGTATTCTTAATTTATATTATTGCTGGCCTTGCTTGGAACCTAACTTGTAAAAGGAAATAGACAAGATTAGCATAAACTTATTATGAATTAAAAGAGCAAAAGCCCCTGATGGCTCAAAAGAATATAATAGAACATTTAAATTCAGGGTATGAGAAAATATTTCTGTGACTGCTTTCTGTATCTGTAAAATAGTGGCTGGTGTTTGAACCAGAATATGACGAGAACCTCTTAAAGAATCGCATTATACGTCCCTGATTCAAAAAGTACTTTCCATTCATATGATTAGCTATAGGTGTTACATGGGACTCAAAATAAATCTTATCATCAAAACTCAGAAGAAAATGAGATAGAATGTCTAATAATTAAACTGCACAGAAGATGAATTTGATAACAGCATACATTTCATTTTCTTTAGTCCTATCCTTTAGAAAATTGCATATCTAGAGAATAGAAGAACCCAGAAAGCATAACCATTGTCTTTGAAATAAACCTAAATGTTAGTGATAAATTTTCGTATAGCTTTGATACTAGCCACACCATGTTTTATTTCGTAAAAACAAATTTTATGTGCTCAAAATAGTTTTCTCCTTCTCTACTTATTACCCGAAGCCCCAGAGAATCCAAAATGCCAACCCATTGTATAGAGAAAAACATGTTTGGGTTCTTCCCACCGCATTAGGATTTCGACTTCGAGGGGATGAGCTCTGCATCCTCTCCTTGGAGCGAAATCCTACTCCCCACCCCCATGGGGACCTGTTAGTCTCCAGGTTTCCTCCAACTTTACTTATGTGTAGTCTTAACCCCATTACAGTTCTTCCCCCTCATCTGTGTTCAGCTCACACCCGTCTCTCTCCAGGTCTCCTTCCCCCAGCTCTTTAGAAGCTCAGTCCAGCATCTCCCTCACACCATCTCCATCCTCATTGCTGCCATCTCACAATCTTCTGGAGACTGTCCCCTCCTCCTCGGGGGCTTGAGCACCAGAGTAGTAACTTTTTCTTGCTACCAGCCCATGCTGCCATTTTTAGCACATACAAAAATTACATTCAGCACCTAGTTCCTCTGCTGCCCGCATTCAGGGCCCTCCAGTCCGCTCTGCCGTGGGCACTCACCAAATGGCCATGCCGTGGGCTTTTTAATTGTGCAGACCTCTGCTTTCTTTAATATCTGAATTCTGAAATGTTCCTTTTTGACCCTAAACTCTTACTCCTGCCCACCTTCCCATCCTGCTCTCTGTCACTCCTACTGACCTATTGTCAGTGATGATTTATGACCTGCCACTTTCTAGCTCAGTTGTCGTCAATTCCTCTGGCCCTGCACTTCACCATCATTAGAATTTCTGTTCTCTGTGGTTGTTATGTTCATAGT